CCTTTTGAACCATCTACTGATCATTATTATCGTCAAGAACAGCTACAACCACAACAGCCTTCAGAACCATCTACTGATGAATATTATCGACAAGAATTACCGCAGCAATCTTCGGAACCATCTACTGATTATCATCATCGTCAAGAACAGCTACAGCCGCAGCAACCTTTTGAACCATCTACTGATGAATATTATCGACAAGAATTACCGCAGCAATCTTCGGAACCATCTACTGATTATCATCATCGTCAAGAACAGCTACAACCACAGCAACCTTTGGAACCATCTACTGATGAATATTACCGACAAGAATTACCGCAGCAATCTTCGGAACCATCTACTGATCATTATTATCGTCAGGAACAGTTACAAAGACAACAGCCCTCAGAAACATCAGCTGATGACTATTACCGCCAACAACAGCAACTCCTGAAATCTGATGACCATCATCGTCAGGAATTGCCACAGCAACCTTTTGAACCATCTACTGATTACCATTATCGTCAAGAACAGCTACAACCTCAACAGCCTTCAGAACCATCTACTGATCATTATTTTGGTCAAGAACAGGGACAAAGTGGCTTTAAAAATTCTAATGGTACTGTTTCTGCCTTCAGTCCAACTTTAGAATCCGGATGCACTCGAGATCAAATTCATGGAAAGCCTTCCTCAGGACTTGACAAAGACTTATCTGGTCTGTTTTTAATGCAAGCTCTTTAGTGAATGAAGTTAACGTTAAAAATGGATACCAATTTATGTGAATTTTCATTGTTTCTTATAATAATTTGAGGATGCCTTGAAATCATATTTCTTCTTGTTCCTGATTTAGAAATGTAGAAATGCTGAGATTTCCACTAGCAATAATTGCAGGTTGGAGTGTTTGGACAACCTGGTCTATCTGTCCCGTTACATGTGGTGATAGTGTACAAACTAGATGGCGAACGTGTGCGGCTAGTGATGCGACATGCCATGGTAAAGCAACTCAACAAAGGCCTTGCCACTTCCGACCGTGTGGTTTGTGGGCGGAATGGTGCGATTGGACTCAGTGTTCAGGTCATCAGCGAAAAGTGTGAATTAATATCACTGACATCTTTATTATTCGCGTTTTACTGTTCAGTTTGCTTGATATTATTCAAGGGAGCGGAGTAAATTTTTGTGTTAATTACATGTTTTTTTTTCGAACGATTTCCACTTTTTTCTTTTTCACATATGTTGCCTAAGCACTGCACGCAGTTTATTACATCTTTGCACTGTCGTTTTTTGTTGTCAACTTTTGATTATTGAACTTTAAATCCATTATCACTCCTTTGCATTATTTGCTATTTTCACTGATTTCTTCACTGGTATAAAAAATGAGAAAACACTGAAGCATGTTTGAGTGCTCTTGTTGAAACTTCACCGCTTCAAGCAATCAAAATGTTATTCATAAGTTCACTTGCAAAAGCTGTAGTTAAGTCGATAAATTTTGATTCTTTTCGATTGATTTCAATGCTTTCATCACGAAGTAATACTGACAGAGCTACTAGTGAGATGTCAAACTGATATGCGCTTTTGCATTATGTGCATACTTGTGTTTTGAAAGTGATGCGAATGATTGTGGACAAAAAATGTCTTTGATTTAGTTGGAACAGTAATTAAAAAATTTCGCCTTCCTTTCTCCACTCTGTGGAGTGGTCGAAAAAGAACTTAACTACCACAAAAGTCTATTCGTCTTCTAAGTTAATCACTTTTTTAACATGTCTGTTGTGGCAAGTACTTTTCCAGTGAATAAGTGCTTTCTTTTAGCAACTTGTGGATATGGTTTACAAACTCGCAGCCGACGTTGTTTGTATCCTTCAGATCAGCAATGTCATGGTAGGAATTTGGAGGTTCGTAACTTGTTTATCAGCTTCGTACCACCTAATGTATGGCGTAAAATGTTTCGTAGTGGTTTGCTAATTTATAGGGAAGGGTATGCCACGCTGGCATATGTCTTGCAGATTGGAATACTTGGTCGAAATGGTCAAGTTGCAGCGCAAGTTGCGGCGGAGGATTCAGAGAAAGGCATCGATCTTGCCCATCTGATGATTGTTTAGGTCTTCTCTCAGTAGTCAAAATCTTAGATAGAAGCTATATTTTTTTCGCAAGTTCCAAACCAAAATGCAGAAAAATGTAGGGGAAGTGCACAAAAGTGTAGTTCATTGGTTTAATTTATATGAAACGTCAATATGAAGTTTGGTTTGTTCCATCGAATCTGATATCCATGAAATTTCATTGTAATACCATCATAATTAAGTGGTTTTAGTTGCGAAATTCTAATGTATACATTATTTTAATTCTCAGTCGGTGACAGTAGTTGTTGGTTTTCTTCTGTTTAATTATACACGAATTTCAGGTTCCAAATATCAGACATTACCTTGTTCACCAGTAGCATGCCCGCAATGGTCGAGTTGGGGGTTCTATAGCACTTGTTCAGCTACTTGTGGACTTGATGCTCGTCGTAGTCGACGAAGGATATGTATCGGTGGTGCAAACTGCAAAGGTATTTGTTGAATGTTTAAACAGTTGTTTGAAAATCTCATTCAACAAATACCAAAAAAATTAAAAAATAAAAAATAAAAAGCAATCATTTTACGAAATCTACTTTTAGTATCGATGAAATTTAAACAGTGAAGTAATCTTGAATAAAAAGCAATCATTTTACGCAAGTGAATGGTGAAGAAGCGTGAAAATGTTGAAATTTCTAACATTTCCATCAATAATCAAACATTTGACAGAACGTGACTATCTCCTGTATAATTTTTTAGTTTAAAAAATCTGCGATGGTCCATTTCCTACAGTTTTTGCTTGTTCTTGCTCGTAAAGACAATTACTCTGATTTAGGTAATTCAAATTTAATTTTAAGGACTCAAAGAAGAAACAATACATTGCCATAACTTAGCTCCATGTCCTGAGTGGACCGAATGGGAACAATGGTCCAAGTGTTCGACCACTTGTGGATATGGAGTTATCACACGTCAACGCACGTGTCTTGGCGGACCATTTTGTGAAGGTCTACTTTTTTATAAATTAAATAATTTACTAGAGACAGATGACGAATTTTATTTCGTTGATTTCGCAAGCGGATATTTTTTAGCGTGCAACAAAAATGTATATACTCAAAGATCTATTAGGTGATCGAATCGAGGAAAAGAAATGTGAGCATTCTGAGTGTTCTTATTGGTCAGGTTGGAAAGAATGGTCTTCATGCACGGTTACTTGTGGCGATGGTATGAAACAACGAAAGCGTGTGTGTCAATATGGCACTGATTGTCTTGGGTCGAACGAGGTTAAATATTGTTTCAAAATGATTTAATGTTGTCTCGAAATATTTTCTATAAAACCTGTTCATTCATTTCTCGTTGTCATTTTTTGTAGAAAAACGAGCTCTTTTAGCACTTAAAGTAAACTTAAAATTTGAAAGAATTATTATTATTGAAAGATATTTGAAGGAAACAGCATTTTGCTTCGGACCGCCGTGTTCTGCTTGGAGTCATTGGGAAGCGTGGAATCGCTGCTCGCAGAAGTGTGGACCTGGACAAAAAAGTAGAAGTCGACAGTGTTACAGCAGCAGCGGAACGACTCAAGACTGTATTGGAAAATCTAAGGCACAAATTTATCACTGCTGTAATGTCGTGGATCCACTTCTGCTTGTTTCATCTTTTTCCGCGATTAATTGTTTTTTCAAACATCATTATCATGTTAACATGCATGCAGCTTGAGAGTAAATATGTCTTTAACAGCTGGTATGCATGATTCGTACCAGCGACACAAATTTTTACTTATTAAAATTCGTATTTCCAGGAGACGGTACTTTGTTACGAAATGAGTTGCTGTCATTGGTCGCCTTGGGGGAATTACGGACCTTGCAGTCGTAATTGTGGAACCGGCACGAGACGGCGTGAAAGAAAGTGCCAACAGCCAGACTTTGGTGAAACTCGTCATTTTACTTCTGAAAACTTGTAGAAAGCAAATTAGTTAGTAAAGACTAAATAGTGATGGTAGTATAGTGCAAGGGATTAATTATAATTTGATCTGAGAAAGATAGCTGGTCTATCAGGTTACTATTGAACTCATTTGATGAGTAATATAATTTTTATTGTATTGAGACAAAGCTTCTCACCAATTACCAGCTTGTGAATAAATGATTCACAAGCTGCATGAATTTCATTATTAAGATGTTTGGAAATGCCTGTATTTTACGATAGTGAAATTAATTACTACGAACTGTGTATAAATTAAAATCTATTAAAATCTGATTGTGATACTAATTATTATCATTGAAGATTTCAAATTCTCGGATTTTTCTCTAATTTCTCAAGTTCAATTTTGATAGCATCAAAAAATGCATTTGAAAGCAAAAATTGTAGATGGACAAGAAAATGAAATGTGTACGTGCCCAGGACCAAACATTGAAGAGGACAATTGTAATACACAATCATGCACTTTGCGGTGCCAGTGGACGCATTGGTATGCGTGGACGACCTGTTCATCTCAAAATGCGTGTAAATCAGGCTTTTCGACAAGAAAGAGGTACTAACCTTTATTGGAGAATCTAGAATAGCATCATGAGTAATAAATTACTGAAAATTCAATCTTTCAGACAGTGCGTTGGGGAAGCAGGATGTCTATGCCCAGGTTTAGTCGATGAGATAAAAAGTTGTAACGATGGACAGTCTTGTACTTCCAACACTAATGTTCAGAGTCACTTCATGTTGTGATGGTATTTTATCATATTCTGATTGGTATTGGATACACTTTAATTTCAAAGAGTTAAAAAAGTTTGATCAAATATCTTTTTGATTTAAGCAGTTCCTGCCAATCGATCTCGACCTTTCAAGAGTGTCGTAGATCAATCAAACAATTTATTACTAGGGTCAAGCTTTAATATTTATCATGTAAAAGTCTTTGTTTTTACTTTTCATGTTATAGAGATAAGAACAATTTTTAGTAGTTAACAACGGAAAATATGCAGCAATAAAGAAATTTGAAATATTCTTTGTCGAACAACGTATGATTCTGAAAATTCTTATTTGAGCAGTAGGTTTTTCAAAAGCACAAGGAAAACTTGTTATCAGTTGTTTATCAGCATGATAAACTAAATGACTAATTATAATTTCTTTGTGAAAATGATCATGTGAAATCCACAATCTTAATTGCTTTATGGTCATTCCTACAACGTGTTTGTGTAGATTTAGCCTGCTTTAGGCTATTCCGCAAAATACAATTATCTTGTTAGTAAACCATATACATTAAAATATATACAAATACACTGCTTTGCAATGTTATAAAGGTCCAAATTCCTTTGTAAATTTTTTTGACTTTATGCAAAGAAATTTTGAGTCACTTTTATAATTTTAAAACTTGATTGCACATTAAAATTATGGAAAAAAAATTAATGTCGCTACGTAAAAGCTAATAATGAGTGTGTGCAGTTTTTCGAGATACAAGCTAAAAAATATGATATCAACCAAACACTAATTGCTGGAGTTTGTTAATATTTCTATTGAAGATTGTTGTAAATGATACTTTTGTTTGTAATTAGTTAAAGTATGTAAATAATTCATTGTTTAAAATATCAGTGAAATTATCTACTCTTGGTCATGGTCTAGCGAATATGTATTTACTTTTGCATTAAAACCATACAAAAAAAATAATCATCGTTAGTACCCGTGTGTGTCAATTTTAGCCGTGGATGATATTTTTGTATATATCAAATTTATTCTGAAAATTTGATATATCTCATTCTTTAATTTGTTCTATTCATCACTTGTGGATGGATATCTATTAAGATGGAGTAGTGCAGTTTTTACTGATAATCTCTATCAGTATTAATTGGAAAAACCTACCAAGAAAATTTACAATAGAGACCATTTGGTGCACTAGCAGCTTCCAGAATTAAGTAGTTCACGCAGAGAATTTTGCTGAGTTCTATCCTTCCAAAAATGATCTTCGTCATCGTGTTCACAGTTTGCACCCTTCACATGGAAACCTCTTGGGCATTGGGCGACTGAAATTTAGCTAACCATTAATGCTAGAAATAGCAAATTTTTCATACGACAAACCCCAAACCTGTTTCACTCTAAATTCTGCTGGTTTAAATTTTTATAAGCACAATTATATCATATTTCTGCCATTGAAAATGCAGTTGAAGATCTCCTTACCTTTACTTCTAAAATGATTTTTCAATCTCATCTCAATTTCATATAGTTTATGCGTTAAAAAAAATAGAAATAGAAGCTTACAGCAACGTCCATAAAGTATTTTGCCATTTGAACACTGGCACTGCGATAAATTTTTGTCACTAGTTTTTGAACAAAAAGTGTTGGGGCATCTGGCAGAGCATTCATCGTTACTTGTACAACCGTACTCTCCAGGCCACAATTTCCTAAAAATTACCTAACAAACTTTAAACTTGTAATAAGTGGCAGATTCCACGCTGACGCCTGAAACTGAATAAAATCAAACACGAATATGCAGAATTGGAAATATCAATTTTTCGCAAACAAGCCAAGTATTTGAAACATTTGCTTTTGGAAATATGGAACAAAGCTACAAAATAAAGTTCATTAGGTACATGCGGCATTCTCCACTGATGCATTTCTCATTTGGGAGACATGTGCTGTCAGGATCAAGATCGGTAATAGAACTGTTCCAGAGACACCGTCGTGGGGTCGTCACTGCATACCAAACTGTAAAATAGCTTGTCACCTACTGCTAAAATTCAGAAAAGCATTAATAATTTGAAGATAACTAAACCTATTTTATTTTGAAACTGACAAAATATGCTAAAAGCATTTCATTGTACTAATCAAAAAAACAGTCACACCCACGTGGTTGTTCCGTAATATTTCCCATAGGAGCAAACAACGGCTTTCTTCGGACACTACTTAACACATATTTGCAAGGTGAACCATACTGGTCACATCCTGATCTAGCCTAAAAAATCCAAATCAACATTATTTTAATTGAACATGCTAGCAATTAAATTATTCATCATAAAGAACGATCACTAAATCAAGCTTCGCTATTTTTCTTAGCAGTTTGCCATGTAAGCTTATAAAGAAAAACTTTGTAGGCTATTTCTGAGATTTCTCAAAATTAACTTCGAGTCCCGTGAATTTGAAAAACATTATGCAATACTCATCCATTAAAAATCGCACCAAAACAGAAATAAGAAAAAATACTTGTTCGGGATTTGACTTGATCATCTACAAAAATCATGTTAATGCTCTCGTACTACATTTCATAAAGCTTTTATATGTAAGAATGAAATTATTTATCATTTTTTGCTGACTTCGGTATGGAAAAAATGTCACTTTTTTAAAATTCTGTTCAAAAAAAAATTAAACTTCACGTAATGTTTTCGTTATGTAATGAAATACACAATGTGTCAATTATCATTACTTGCAACAAAGTAGCAGGGTTGATCTGCTGACAAGCTGGTCCATTTGATGCCGCCCCATTGACACAAACGCAAATTGACTGCATGCATTGCGCGCCCCGTGTTTGGAAACCGTTACACTGTGATCCTGTTTGACAAGCGGTTCCAGGAACGCGATTATACACATCTAGCGACACTAAAAAATAAAGTGAGGAAATGACATACAAATTAAAAGAATCTAAAGGAGAAAATACATAATTGCAAGATTTAAATTAAGCTAAAATACTTTAAAGTTTAGATGAGTAAATAATTTTGCCAACGAAACTGAGACTTTGCTAGGATTCTATATGTTATTGAAAATAAGAGACCAAATTGTGTAGAATATTTTGCTACAGAATAATAATAAGAAATAATGCCAAGCTTCTCAATGTGACCTGAACTACAACATGTTCCCATTGAACAAGAAGTATGCGGTGGACAATGACTGGTCGGAGAACACTGACAGATTGCATTATGGTTTGAAGGACATGCAGGATCGAGCGAAAGCAAACAACAAGCTCCCATGGCAGTACAACCGAACCCTGGAGGGCAGTCGATACCGCGACTGCATTGTTGTAACGTTCGAGCACCATTGGGACAAAGCGGTAACGGTTCCAAACAACAGCCTCGTCCTGAAATTAGTTTCTGGGAGATTACTTTTCAAGCAGTTCATTAGCATACAAATGGCATGATTTTTTCTTTACCAAATCAAAATTTGCTGTAAAACTCAAGCAATAACCCTGAACTGTATTATCAGATTTTCTTTTTAATGGAATAAAACGAACAAAATTCACAATAAGATAAAGACGGCACCTTCGCAAACATAACCAGGAGGGCAGGCATTATCACCAAAAGCACATAACTGAACAGCTATCTGACCGGTTGAGCAAATAGGCAGTGGACAGCACACACCATTCTCGCAAACCCAAAATTTTACATAACTGGCATAAAATATTTTTTGACATAAAATGGATATGTAATGAATCATGTTTTAAATTCTGGGCAGACGTAGGTATTACTAGATTTTATATGTGAATATTATTTGCATAATAGAATACTACTCTAGCATCGTCTTCACAATAAAATTTTTTAGATCCTACATTATTTTATCTTATTTCATTGATGTAAATGATGATTTTGTTTAGGGGTACCTGTCCCACAGGGCAAATGGTGCCTTGGCATCGTTGAAAAGATTGAGCGCCTGACGGACACGTAGGTAATGGACAACAACCACCATTAATACATTCCATACCATGTGGACAAGTGCCTCTTGGTCCGCATACCATTGCTGATATAATCCCATTGGAACAAGCAGGTAGTGGGCAACAAACACCATTTACACACTGTTGACCTAAGGGACAACAGCACCCACATCTGAAAGCTGAGAGATTTTATTATGGTTAAGCATTAATATATGAGTTATTTGATGGGAAAAAGTTAAATATACCGTTGAGATCCGACTTGATTATTAGGACACAGAGGAAGTGGACAGCAACCGCCGTTGGCACACTCGAAACCAATTCCACACTCTACACTTGATACACAGATGCGTAAAGCGATGACTCCGGAAGAACAGCGTGGTGAGGGACAGCACAAACCGTTGGCACAGACTGATGTGCTTGGACAACCTATACCGGATGGACATTTACCCACAGCCTAAATTATTAGCGTAATTGCATTAAAATACATTTGGGAGCAAAAGAGGAAAGTAAAAAATTGAATGACTCTTCACAAACTTAAAAAACGATTATGGAAATATCCAAGTCATTACAGGATATTTTTAGAGTAACAAAAAGTGCAAACGAAATTACCTGAATTCCCGTAGGGCAAAATGGTATGGGACAACAACCATTACTAGAACATTCCATTCCTGGACCACATTCCTGTAAAAATCTCATCTGTCCATGTTTGTTGATACCCAATACTTTAACTTTAATAACTAGTATTACATTACCTTTGCAAATGGAAATGGATGATTGTTACTTACTTGGTCTATGGTACACCTTGAAGTAGCAGTAACGCCACTTCGACAAATAGGCATCCGAACTGGTTCCTGGTGTTGCTGTTGACAACAACATCCTGACATGCAAGTAGACTGAAATTTTATCTTTCTTATTTCATCAATACCTTGCAGTTAAAGCACTTGAATATGCATTTATTACTTGTTCTGAACACGATAACGTTATCGATAAACTCTGTCCGCAGAAACCAACGGCATTTTGTCCGATCGGACAGACTAAAGGACAGCACACTCCACGATAACAACCACTATTTGTTGGACACTGCTCCATGAAACCACATGGTTGTGTTCCTGGCGAACCATCTACAAAAAAAGGTAATTTTTATAGCCCGCAAATTCGCTTGGATTTTCTTTTGTAAGATAAACTCACTAGGACACATTATTACAATTTGGTGTGAAGAGACTGGAATGCTCGTTTCCTGTGCAACCGATATCGGTGTTTGTGGCCGTTGTATGACTGGAACGAGTGAAGGTTGTGGTTCGACGACAGATAATGGCTCTACTGTAATGCTACAGCAAAAACCGCTGATTACGTAACAGATTGTACCCGGTGGACAAGATTGCATAGGTGAACAAGCAGCCACAGGTGGTTCTGTATTACCAGGACACAATTCTGAAAACAACTTATTTTGAGAAAAAATAAAAGTTCTTGACACTTATAATTGACTTTAACTATGACAAATATCAATAGTTTGACAAGAAAAACATTTTTAATCTCATTTCAGATGTGAATTGATTTAGAAGACTGCAACTGTTTTATTTTTTGGAGATTTCAGAATTACTGACAAAGTACACCGATTCATTTAAAGGTGTTGAAGAATAGATGATCGAATCAACAGTTATTTTGTTCTTTTTGTACGCGTTTTTTATTTTTTCAACGTGCTGCTTCAAAAAAATTAGTGAATTAGAATATATTTACTGCAGCAACTATTTCTCAACATTAAAGCTCTTAAAAAATGTGATTTTTCATGTTTTAATTTTCTTTAAAACAAAATTCAAAAATGAACTAATGAACGCAGTGTACTGAAAAGATCCATTTCTTTTTGATCGGAGTCTATGAAACATGAATTTTACTCTAAATCAGGCTGAGAAATGATATAGAGGTGTCTAACGAGGAGAGAGGTTGTTCGGAACGGAAACCGATTGAAGTTGAAGTGGTTGGTATCGCGACGGTTGATTAATTAGTGGTAGACAACATACTTGATACTCCTGAAGCAAGTTATATTTTTCCTCTTCTTTCAAGAATATTTCGACGATATTTGAGAATTTTCAGTTTTGGAAATATACTTAAGCTAAATTCCAATTTTTAATAAGAATTATCACGAGTAAACATAAAATCTGAAAAAAATTACGAAAGATAACTACAATTTATTAGCAGAAAGCAAAATAGTTGAAAATATTCGTGAAACAGAAAAAAAATCAGTGCCGATCATTTCTATTTCCAATAGCAACTAAATAAATGATGAAGATGGAATCTCAAATATTTGGAAGAGTAGATGGAAAATCTTAGAAATAACCTCAGTTTTACCTCAGTGCACCGTGATTGTCCTGGACACGAATTAACAAAAGGTTGTTGAGCACAGCGACTTACTGGTGCTGATCCAATTGGACAGCCCATTAGCTGCTGAGGTACACAGAGCTGTAATCTAACATCGAATATCATCCCGTGGGCACATTGCCTTGGGGTCCAAAGACCGCAGGATCTAAAATTCATGCATCCCAAAAATCAAAAATATACCATTAACATTTATAATCTAAAATAGCATACTGCACAAATTTGCAGACATTCGATAATACTTGAGGTCTAAAGCAAATTCCACATTAAATTTGTAACCGAATTTAGAAAACATCGGCAAAATGTGAAAGTTCTCATTTTTGAACGAGTCCTATTGCAAAAAAATAATTCCTTATTCCAGTATGTATATCTTCACTTTTTTTCTTTCTATGTAGTTAGTTCCTACACTACAGTTAAGTGTGGTGCTACCTTGCAGATTGAGGTACACACTGTAGAAATACTGCATTGCTGTTAGCGTCATCTTGAAGAGGAGCTGTTAACCAATCGCAAGTCTTCATCTGATCAGGAACAGTATTCGCAGCTGAAGTTTGCAATTTATAGTCAAATGAGAAATTCATAATTTTTGGAGTCAAATCAGGAACTCATAATTTTAGTCAAGGATCATTCACTTATACATTTCTATACCACTTTTCCTATAAATTCAATCACAACTTCACCAACACTTCTTCACTTTTACAATAATTAACTTTAGTTCACTGAACCAGAAAATCTGACTGTAAGCGATGAATTTAAGAAATAAGTTAACCTTGATAATTTTAAATAATTTGTTCTTCCTAATGTTCTTGTCTTCATTTGCTACTTAATCTTACATGCAGTAAGGATCAGAACTTTATTATAAATTTTTGGGCAAGCACATTCGTATACTATTTTTGATGACGGAAATAGCTGCAGAACAACCCAAATCATGTTTGCAAGCAATATTTCTTAAATAGCACATGAATAATCGCAAGCTCATTACAGCAGATTCTTGTACAGATCTCATATCTATCTATATCGTCATATTCTTCTCCATCCAGATTTATCAAAATTAAACACAACTTGAAATAAATTACCTTGGCAAGATGTCTGGCATCCTATGGCATTTGGCTTCAACCGACAATTTGTAGGTTGTCTACGTATCTTACTTTTATCAGTACACCCTTGTTTAATGTAATCAAATTGATGATCACCTGGGCATTTGCGCACTTGCCATGTGCCTACTTTGCTATCACTCAAATGGTAACTCTTAATCTGTAATTGCCACCAAATATTGCTAGCAGAATTATTTGTCAAAATATTTGAGCAATTATTAACTCACAACATCACAAAGTACTTTGATTTACATGTATGCCAGTATTCAATAAATAACTGACTACTTTATGCAAGAAATAAGACAAACTTCCTGATCACTAAGTGAGATGCACTGATAAAATGAACGTGGATTATCAGCAGCACGGATGTGCTCTACAGTCATGCATAGACTGTTTTCAATTGGTAAATCATTTCCTGTAAAGTACGCGCGAAACATTGCTATATATTCATGAAATACATGGTAATTCACTCTTTTACGGAAGTGACTATGAAATAATGATGGCAAGTAATCCAGTGTCTTGCATGCGTTCATAGAAGCAACCATGAACGCATATTTTACTAAAACTGGGTAACTTACCACTGATATAATGAAGTATAAATATGAGTAGTTGATATCGCATGACTTGTACGCTTCAAAGTCTAACAACCTACAGTATCAGTTGCAATAGTAGTACTAATGATAAAAATACCAAGACAATGTTGATCTCCAACTCAACGTGTCGTCGTGCAAATTAGAAAAAGAACTAACGATGAAATTTTTGTGAGCTATCCACTAAATCGAATGGAATTCAGCTGAGAGCAATTCACTTGTCTTTAAATGTTTGCTTGAAGAGTACACTTCTACACAAAAACTAGTTCAAGGCTCTGGTCAGAAGCTCACTTCACTCATGTTATCATAAGATCTGGTTTTGGGCAAATAATTAAACAATACTTTAGTCCAGCTATACTTCATTTTGTCACTTGAGCAATGCTTCGATAGCAACATTGCAATGTACACTCTCTTAAATATATACCATCTGCCATCTTATTCATCGAACTAGTTCTATAAATCCATCACTAAAAGCAGTTTACTCGTCCATGCTTATTTTACTTTTTTCACAACACAATTTGTCACCAGAGGTAGTAAATTAATAACTTTTCTTCTTTAAGATCAAAATGTCACGAAATTGACAAAGTTCTACTTTATTACGGTACTTAGTTGAAAACGCATAATGCACACACCATAATTTAGAAATAACACCATACATATAAATGATTCACTCCTATTTCACCTATTAATGCAAAAAAAAACAAACACCTTTGGTCACGTACTACCAAACTTCTGTCACAATGACCTCTGTCGCTTAATAATGGCTGTTTCGTCACGCGTCTACTTCTCTAAAATATACTAGTAATAATAAACAAAAGGACTTAAGAAAAAAAAAAGTAATCCACTTCACAATTCTTTGATTAAAACAACCAGTCAACTCTAGAAAGTTGTCCACAAACAGTAAGTAGGTTCTACTATGCATTTTCATTGGCATTTAGTACTATATCATAATCACAAAACTTTCCATTTCATTAATGATGGATAAAAATAACCTAAAACAGCTCCGAAATAACTTTTAAATGACAAAATGCAGACTGAGAGTTAAGTATGCCAAACTTTATCGAAGATAAAACTTTTGAATTATTCTGGCAAATAAGGAGGGACAAATAATAAATAACATCCAAGTTAATAACCTCGATGTATTTACTGCTTTTGAGGCCTTTTCAGCCAACCACTGAAGAAGAAATTCACAAATAAAAGTGGCGAGAAAGTTCACTGATAAGAAAGTAATACTTTACAAACTCAGAAAGATGGATGGTTTTGAACCAAATTATCGAGTTTCTTTTCGAAATATTCCTTGTTTGTTTCTCCTTTGCGATCATATTTGCCATCAAAACTTACTGAACTTAAATATGCCTAAAATTTAGTCTTTAGTTTCCATAACAAAGTTCTTATGCCAAATGGTCAGAAATATGATCAAGCTCTTTAGTCAGTGAGGTAGTCAATATAGCTGCTGCACATACCTTATAAATGTTATACATAAGCTCCTTCATTCCTGTTGCATTTAGATCCGTATTGAGGACCATCTTGAACCCAGTGTTTGTTTCATAATAATTAAAATTATATTGGTTAGTTTTGAAGTAATCTACTTGCTGAACTCTAAATAAACATTTCCTTAAACCTTAATCGACGAAACATTCAATTAAAAAGCCTAGATAAAGCGATGAGATGACTGACTACCTTGAAAGTTTGAAAAGCAAGAGTTCGCTAAAATGATATAGTCCTAACCAGTTTCAGCAACTAACCCCGGATCCGTGGAAAGTTTTGAGCAAAATGAGCGAATTGACAGCACCAATCCACTCATCAGTTTCATTTCCTGCAAGTTTTTACATCTAATCTATGAGACTTTCAACGAAAATCATACATGACTATGAAAATATAACTTCACTTCTTCTTCGGACATAGTTGCCTTTTTGTCACGCTTCCATTCTCTATAATGTAGACATACGCCACTGCGACTGAATAAATAAAAATTGTATATTGTCATAGCAATATATTCCTATCGATACTTCTCTGCAATACTTCCAACCTGGTTACCGAAAATCTTTACAAAATTCGTCACCAAACCCTTACACAGTGAAAGAGTGTTAGATTACTAATCTTTACAACTGCATTCACATAGTCAATTTTATGAACGAAATCCAAATAAATTTCCAGGTACGAAGTCTAACATCTAAGGGTGTTCCACCATTGCATCTGTAAAATACAGCCTTTAAGGCACGTGCAATTACTTGAGTAAAAACACAAGAAAATCAATTCGCATATTGATTGAAAGACCCAAGAGGTCACATGGCACTTAGCCAAAATAGACGGTCATCGAGTGGGTCATTTCGCGAATAATCCACATACGATGTTCATTCACTGTCTCACTCATTCGTCAATTTACTCATGCATGCGCATAGTCTTTTCTGTCCCCATTTTCTGTTCATTCTAGCAGAGCGTGAAACCAATATTTAAACGTCTCAACAAATGCTAGAACATGCGGATGCACAACCTGCGCAAGCCAGAAGTCCATCCATCGAGCTTAAAAATCTAGTACGTACTTGACCTTTCGCGAAGGTTGATCTCTACGAGGTTTTTACTATACTCACGTCATGCCATCCATTCTCATCCTCGTTCCATTTGTTGCTCACATCCTGCTAATTTCACCAAATGCTTAACAGCACATACGGTATCACATGCTGGGTGCAATGTCCATACGCGAACTTGTAACTTCCCTACCCGTCCCCTTGTTGGGTGTCCATAACTGTTTCCTCGTTATAGTGCCCTCTGCTCTATTCACTCGCTCTCTCTGCTCTCGCAGTAAATTTTTTTCTCACTCCTTTTCTCATTCTCTAATCGTTCAGTCCCAACAAGCCTATCTTCTCTTCTATTTATTTGTCTACCCCACTCTGTGTCTTTCTCAGCTATGATGTCTTTTTCCTCAACGATTCTTTCTGTCTCGCCAAAAGCACACTGTTCTGTCTCGTCATTGATCTCTGCTTCTATCTTTTTTAATGATAAAAGAGTAAGACGCATAGGTAACGCGTCATGCGGTGCGCGTGCGTATGCGTGCTCAGTTTTCAATGAGGGAGGGAGAGAGGGAGCGATATTAACAAGGAAGCCCTTGTGTTACGTTGAGATGATGGATGCATTACCTCATGTCTAGACTTCATGTGCGTGCAGACACCACTTTTAACTTTTTATGTATGCACGTACGTGGGGTGTTTTTGCACGTTTAAGTAGCTGTGAATTTTACTCTTTCCAAATACACGAGCTTTTCAAAGTGCTTTGCTTTTTTATTTTACCATACAGTGTTTATTGATACTGGCAATGTAGTTCTTTCCATGTTGGTTAATACTTTGCAGGAATTTACGTGTGACACGTGAGTTAGAAATATTAATTCATATTGCGTATGTAACGCATTCCGTTTACTTACAATTACGTGCAGGTCTGATTGTTGTTACATTTGATCTCTCATACTTCTTCCGTAAAAGTAAGTTTTGAGTCAGAGCTTATGTCCTCGTTGCTTTGTTATTTTCTTCTCTGAAATTTTAAGGGGTAGGGGCGCTTTAAGCTTCATAAATTATCCTTGATCTTTTATATGGTAAACGCTACTCTAATGTTCTCATTCTTAAGCATTAACTCCTAATGTGTACCCTCCATGAACTGGTATCATTCTTATAGATATTTGTTTTGATTGCAACATGTTGTAAAAATACCTGATACAGCCAAGACAATTTCTGAAATTTAGGTGCATTCTGAATCTATACATAAGCGATGGCAGCAATAGATCAACAACAAGTTTTAAATCTCTTGGGTTTGACTTTTTATTCTTAACAGTTTGACCTTCTTTCTGCGCTGTACTTTCTATGTCGAGATGTAACTTCCATCTGTGAAATATGGAAATTTAATTCATACTTCTTTCGTTGCTGCTTCCATTCTGAATCTGCTAAAGTAGCAGAGTAGCACACAAATTATTATTCTATCGAATTTTACAGAGGCATTCAGTTTTGGAGACAGACAAGGTACGTCGACGGGTATGCCGCAGTATCAATCGGTACTGCAAGTGCCAAATATTTTGGGAAATTCTCAATATGTACAAGCGGGAAGCAGCCAGCAGCAACATCAGCAGCCTCAACAGCTTCAACAACAACAACAACAGGTCACTCTACTGATTGTGCAGTTCTAGGATTGAGTTTTTAGTTTAGAAATTTTTGATTTCTTTAAAGGATTATAGATAAATTCGCAACCAGCATTGTTTCAGGATGCGTATCAACTAGCTCCCATTAGTGCTGCTCCAGTGCAACTGATGCTTGGGGGAAGCGGTGGGGCGTCATCGTTTGAGAATCATCCAGCTGGATCATTGGCACCAGGTGGGCCAGTAGGAGGTGGAGATGGTTCTGGAGCACCCATTCCACCTGCAGCTAATGTACCACCAACACGTCCTCCTGGGCAACCAGCTGGTTAGTTATTATAATACATATTTTTTGTCTTCATTTTCATGTCGATTACATCTCTTTTAAGAAACTGAATGCTTGTCGAATCTCAATGTTTTTGACGTTATAAAGTTTGACCACGACCACATATATTTCCCGGATGTAAGTCTCTGGTGTTTTTTAAATATTAACTAAATGTAGAATTGCAATGCTTGCACAACTTTATTTTAGGCTCTCTGCAGTTTCAATGTCCTCGTAGACCTAATCATGGAGTAGAAGGACGACCGATCGTTTTACGAGCAAATCATTTTGCGGTTCGTATTCCTGGAGGTAACATTCAGCATTATTCAATTGATGTGCAACCAGACAAGTGTCCGCGTCGAGTCAACAGGTCTGTTGCAGTCAAGCACAACAATTATATTATGGAGATTATTTTTTCTCTTTATATCAGTAAGACTATAAAATTTATTCACAAGCGACGTTGATAATACAAGCTGGTACTAATAATAATTGAAATCAGAAACTGTCAAATTAAACTCATCCCAAAACTGATGTCTTGCACTCTTTGATACAGTTCTTGATTTCGTTGTGACTTGATCGAAATACTCTTCACCATCATGAAGTGTATGACTGTTAATGTTAATCATGAAATGGAGCAACAAATCTTATAATACAAACAGAGTGATAATTATGATTAATAACAAAGACATTGTAATCTATGAAGAACTTTATATAAGTGACTTATCAAAACATTGAATTACTTCTAGTTTAAATTGCAATATTTATTAACCTTTGATTTTATTTGCTGTTTCTAACATTAGCTTTCGTTCTGTTTGATTTTCAGAGAAATTGTTAACACTATGATTCGTGCATATCAGAAAGTGTTCAGTAGTGCTCGTCCAGTTTATGATGGTAAACGTAATATGTATACTCGAGATCCATTACCAATTGGACGCGAACGACTGGAACTTGAAGTTACATTGCCTGGAGATTCTGCTGTTGAAAGACAGTTTGCTGTTACAATCAAATGGGTTTCTACTGTTAGTTATAGTTACTTCAGTTTTTGCTTTGTAACGTCAGTCATAATAAAAACAAAAGTCGATTCTTTGTAACCAAAAAGTTTTTGTTGATTAGGTGTCATTATCCGCCCTAGAAGATGCAATGGAGGGACGAGTTCGTCAAGTGCCTTTCGAGTCTGTCCAAGCAATGGATGTGATTTTACGACATTTACCAAGTTTGAAGTAAGCCCCAACTCTTCTTAATTATTTTGTTGGTGGTGCCATTAGGAATTCACCAAGTTTGCTACGTCTACTTTTAATTTCAGATATACTCCTGTAGGACGGTCCTTTTTTTCGCCGCCCTTAGGTTCAACGCATGGTCCGTCTCATTCAGCTCAACAGTATCATACGGAAAGTAAACTCGGTGGTGGTCGTGAAGTGTGGTTTGGCTTTCACCAGAGCGTACGTCCAAGCCAGTGGAAAATGATGCTCAATATTGACGGTTAGTAAGTGCGCACTTTTGCTGCTAGGGTACCAGAAATCTTGGAGAGTTTGCTAAATTATAATTTTTTCTTGGGCATCTTGCATACTGAAGTACTGAAATATTCGTGCATGTCAACAGTTAATGTCTTGGTACTTATTTTTAGAAGTGTTATCAATAAGGGCTTAGATCACACATTTCAGTTTCGGCAACCGCGTTTTACCGTTCAATGCCTGTAATCGAATTTATTGCGGAGGTACTGGAAATACCAGTACAAGCATTGTCCGATCGTCGTACACTATCAGATGCTCAGCGTGTTAAATTTACGAAAGAAATACGTGGTTTAAAAATCGAAATTACTCACTGTGGTTCGATGCGACGGAAGTACCGCGTGTGTAATGTTACTCGACGAGCAGCTCAAGTTCAAACGTAAGTTTTCTGATATTTGATGTAAGCTTCAAATTGTTCTGAGCAGTTAATAAAGTTCAATGAGAATTAAGATTCCACAATATTTATTCAGCTTACTGAATAATTTGGCACGTTGTTTTTCCTGTATGATTGAAATTAGTTTGTAACTAGTTTGCAACCTTGAACTTTTTGGAAATATCTACGTTGATTGTAAAACTGCTTTTGATTGCTGGCTGGTAAAAACATCTACCTATTAACTACTGTTTTAGTGCTTGTATTATTCATGTATTGATAAATGTTTATTCATTTAGATTTCCATTGCAATTAGAAACGGGCCAAACCATTGATTGTACTGTTGCCAAATATTTTTTCGACAAGTATCGGATGCAATTGAAATATCCACATTTGCCTTGTTTGCAAGTAGGACAAGAACAAAAACATACTTATCTACCTCCGGAAGTATGCAATATTGTACCTGGACAACGATGTATCAAAAAACTTACGGATACGCAAACAAGCACAATGATTAAAGTAATTGTAGTTTAAATACACTGTTTTTTGAAATTTTATGCCATATTTGGTTGCCCTGAAGGCAACATTGTCAAGTTATTTTAGGCTACAGCTAGATCAGCACCAGAACGTGAGCGTGAAATATCAAATCTAGTTCGCAAAGCTGAGTTCAATGCGGACCCATTTGCTCATGAGTTTGGTATTGCAATCAATCCAGCAATGACTGAAGTATGTCTTTTAGTGAGCCTAAAAGAGTGGCATAGGAACATATTTTTTTAAATGCAACTTGCCATCAAATACTAATCTTTTTGTTAAAAAGAAATGTAACAATTTTTTGGACTTTTAAAGGTCAAAGGTCGTGTGTTGAATGCACCAAAGTTGCTTTACGGCGGTCGAACAAAAGCTACAGCGCTACCTAATCAAGGTGTATGGGATATGCGAGGAAAACAATTTCATACTGGTGTGGAAGTCAAAGTTTGGGCAATCGCATGCTTTGCGCAACAACAGCATGTGAAAGAAAACGATCTTCGGTTATTAAATGACTATCATTTTTTTTAGTTCAAAAGTAGTCCGATATCCATTCTGGTTTCTTAAGTTTTGTTGGTTAATTTTGCTTCATTATTTGCTGCACTTCCTGCAAAATCATTATTGTTCCAGCAATTTCACCACTCAGCTCCAACGAATATCCAATGATGCAGGAATGCCAATCATAGGACAGCCTTGTTTTTGTAAATATGCGGTAGGAGTTGATCAAGTTGAGCCAATGTTCAAATACCTAAAAACAACTTTTGTGAACATCCAACTTGTTTGTGTTGTATTGCCAGGAAAGACGCCTGTTTACGGTCATTTTCACATTTAATTTATCTTAAAAGAAAATTGAGTAATTTCTTCTTTTTTTTTGCGTCTCAAATCTCAGAACTAAAAACAGAAAATCTATGAAACTCGGTTTTTATTGACATGTGCTTGAGTGATATCAAATACTAGAACTAATTTTCGTATTTTGCAAGCCTAGAAATATATGCTATGATTCGCCTCTTGCAGTCAGCTTTAGTTTGATATGTTTCCTAATAAATCAAAATGTAATCATTGTTTCAGCTGAAGTTAAACGGGTTGGTGACACAGTATTAGGTATCGCTACTCAGTGCGTGCAAGCCAAAAATGTAATCAAAACTACTCCCCAAACCCTTTCTAATTTGTGCTTGAAAATGAACGTAAAATTGGGTGGTGTTAATTCGATCCTTTTGCCGACTGTTCGGCCCAGAATATTCATAGAACCAGGTCAGCAAAATATGTCTTTGTCTAGTTCTTTTTTTTTTGTTTTTTCATTTTCGACTTCATACTCATTAATTTATGATTTTGCTTTAACAAGTAAATAGTAGAAATTATTGTTAAGATTTCAGTTATATTTCTTGGTTGTGACATAACGCATCCTCCTGCGGGGGATTCGCGTAAGCCCTCTATTGCAGCTGTTGTTGGGAGTATGGATGCCCATCCATCGCGTTACGCAGCTACTGTTCGTGTACAGGCACATCGTCAGGTATCGCTTTAAATATCACTTTTAATGCGGTGTTATTTTCGTAACTAGTTTTCATTTACAAACATTCAGGAAATAATCAGTGACCTCACATATATGGTGCGTGAACTTCTCATTCAGTTTTATCGCTCAACACGTTTCAAGCCTACAAGAATTATTATCTATCGAGATGGTGTTTCAGAGGGGCAGTTTTTCAATGTAGGTTTTTTAATTCTGATTCTATTATTTGTGAAATTTAGTTCTTTCCTTCAATTGGATTGTATACAGGTTTTACAATATGAGCTACGAGCTTTACGTGAATGCTGTATGTTGCTTGAAGAAGGCTACCAGCCAGGAATCACTTTTATCGCCGTACAAAAAAGACACCATACTCGTTTATTTGCTGTTGATAAGAAAGATCAGGTAATTTGTCTATTTAACCAAGTATTGATCGACTGCCTTCAATTTCGCTGGGTAAATTATCGAAGTTTGCGCAAGGAAAATATACGTATATGTTTATTTGTCTATTTGTTCATTCATTTTTGTCTATATTCATATATTTATGTGTTTCATTTTGCAATCAAGTAAGATAAAGTTAAATTTTTTTGAGGTTGGAAAAGCATTCAATATTCCTCCTGGCACAACTGTTGATGTCGGCATAACACACCCCACTGAGTTCGACTTTTATTTGTGTTCTCATGCAGGGATTCAGGTCTTATATTTTAGACACTTTACATATTGAATATTTATTAGTAACATAACGGAAATTAAGGTTTATTACAATAATTATTACTGAAGTATCATAGTTCTATTTATAACAAAAAATTGTGAACAGTAAATTTAGCTCTGTAAATTTTTAACTGCTTAGTTGTTTTCATATCAACAATTGCTCACTAGTTTTAATTACGTAACGAATGAATCAATTTCACAGTTCAATATGTAATATTTTTTATTGTAGGGAACATCGCGCCCATCTCATTATCATGTTTTGTGGGATGATAATCAGCTAAGCGCCGATGAGTTACAACAGTTAACATACCAAATGTGTCATACATATGTGCGTTGTACAAGATCGGTATCGATTCCTGCACCAGCTTATTATGCACATTTAGTGGCGTTCAGAGCTCGTTATCATTTGGTTGATCGAGAACATGACAGGTTTTTATAACGCTAATAAATTAGTATAGAGATGATAATTAATGTCAAATATTTTAAATCTACTAGAAACGTAAATCCAGATCGTTATCGGCAGAAGAATTTGTGTCGACATTAAATGAAATAAATGTTTTGTTACAGTGGGGAAGGTTCGCAACCTTCTGGTACAAGTGAAGATACTACTTTAAGCAATATGGCGCGTGCAGTTCAAGTTCATCCCGATGCAAATAATGTAATGTATTTTGCCTGAAACTAATATTTAATATATTGTTATTCTAGAAACTGCATACTAGTTTATTCTCCTATATTATCATACTCTGCATTTATTATTGCAAGGCAGAAATGCTTTGCATAAATTTTAACCATTTTTTATTGCCTTCTCTTGTTCATAATGATTTTACCACCATTTATTTTTTTCGGAGTATTCTGTATCTCAAGTGTATAAAATATAGATGCATGTTGAAGGTTGTAGTTCTTTAACCTCTGTGCTTTAATCCATGCTTTCAGAACCTTTGTTTTCGTACTGGCTCTAATTCTTACCCAAAAGTAAGTCATTTCCACTTTTATGACGCCTTCACTTTGACTGATAGCGTTGTAAAACTGAGGTGCCATTAATTTGGGTGTTGTAAATGAAATTTTTTTTCGTTTTAAATGTTTTGTTTCTTGGTAGTTTTAAGAGAATTTTTTGTTCTAATTCCATATTTTTCGTGCATTTTTTGGTTCTTCATTTTTGAAAGCTAACAAATGATAATAAATTAGGTTAAAATTAATATCGCATATAGAGCATTATAAAAGTGAGAAAAAAAAGTTATCACAAGTAATATGCATAGATTTCGCTTAATTTTCAATCATATCTCTGAACTTTTTACAGTTGGTTATGCAATTGCAATTATGAATATTGGCTTCCGATCTGTCGTGCATTATGTTTTGAGTGCACTAAGAGTTGTTGCTTTAAATGTAAAAATATTTAAGATGTGAAGATTGGTTTTTCATCTGTGAGTAGTTCCAAATAATTTTTGTCTACCGTGTAAATTATGAAATTGTTCAATTTTACTGTTGATTAGGTCAATAATGTGTTGTGTGTCAAACTCACGTTACAGATAGGTACAACGGAAGCGTGCCGTGACGATATACAAGTGTGGTCGACCGTCATCCAATTCAAATGGCGGCCTTGACCGTGAAAATTGTGTCACCATCACGATTCTGTTACTTATTTGTGCGAATTACTGCATTAAATGATAGTGATGTAGGGCATAATTTTGTTTCTTAGAGTAGCGCTGAATACTGAATTGAGTTTGTTCTAAAAAGAGATGTAGCAAGTGAGGGCTCGTAAAGATAAACTAGTAGTAATTTGAGATAAATGCTTTTTATTAATTGCATGCCAATTTTGATTGTCGTCGTGCAATTCCGGTCTTGAGCAATGTGAGTCACATGTCTTTCTATGTTCCATTTTATTACTGCCATCTGCCACCAGGAATCATACACTTTCTCGTGATCTGCTATCTTCATTTCATATTATCTGCAATTTATAAGCGAGAAACTGTTCATGAACATTGCAGTTTTTCCTATGTTAGTCGCAATTTTTCACTCTCTTACTGTCATCTCTATGAGTAATAGTTAAGTGAAGTTAAATGATGTCCCAATTTGAGCATCACTGATAATTATTGTATCTCGTAATCTAAATTACTCTACGGTCATATTTTACATAACATTTCAGCTGAGTTGATCTATAATCTGCTAAACCTCCATCTGTGTTGCTCATGTTATTTTTCATTGATAAAATATTATTCCTTTTGCCTGCAGTTGTCTCTTGTGTTGCACATATTTTATATAGTACTGAATTATCGAGTTTATGACTATACCAGACTCTAACTACTTAATGTACCGTGTATTTTATGTGTTTAATTATAAAACGAATCACTCCTTTAAATTATACTATACAAGCTTTTCGTCCACTTACTCTCGCACTTATATTCTGGGAAAAATTGGAAAGTACCGCATGCGCATGCTAAAGAACCTAAACAGTTTTGCTAGGCAAGAGCACACATATTTTGTCAAGACATTTACACATAAGGTTATGCACCAGAAAACACTGCAAATTCAGCCACGTAAGCGCAAGCCTAGACTCAAGTGATGCCGGAATGTGGTACAGACGGATGCGGAAACAAGTAGTCGAGGCAGATGAGTACGGTAATGTTAAAATTCACTGCGACACATGCGTATTCCATAAAGTGTAGAGAACTACAGGCGTGCGAAATAATACAGCAACAAGTATATTGTAGTTGTACAGACAAATGTATTGTGCACATGAATGCGATGCGAGGTTGCTCAATAAGGTGTGGGGTCATGAGTCTGGCGGCACCAAACTCAGTAATGGGTGGGACCGTCTAGTTTGGAGGATAGAACGTAAACTTCGAGTTGGAACTGAAGTCATATTACGAATGAAAGTTCAGAGAAGTATTAGACTTATTATATCGGATTACTAAGGAATAATCAAGCTCACTGAAGTAGTTGATTGCATTAGTACAGATTACTTCAGTTATCGTACCATAGCGTTGGAGTGCAGTGCAAGGGAAGGCTTCTGTTCAAAAGCATCAGTTACTACAGGGAAAAAAAGTGGAGCATGCTAGTAGTGTAATGAAGCTTACATGCGGTGTTCAAATTTGCAGTTACGGTCTGGAATTCAACTTGCATCAATTCTTATATTTATTTATTTAATATTTAGGGTTAAAATTGGCATTATATTTCACCTGTTTCATCAAAAATCTCAAATTACAACTTGTAAAGGAATTACGATATTCATCGCGTATATACGATGACTTCAGTAATCCATGCTGTGAGATGAAAATGCTGTTTACGTCATTTGAAAGAATATTCGAGCTGTTCATCAACCCGGACTTTGACAGTGTGCATGTAAAAAAGATACTCTTCCTTTGCACTGCATTCTGATGTTTATCATCTACTTTTCATTTTGGATTTATCATTCATCAAAAAAATGTTGACACTGAGATATAAATTTGCATCGCAAAGGTCGATGGAGTGCCAAAATAGCAATGCTAATTTTTAGTCAAAATTCAGAAACTGAGCAGTCAGTGACATTAAGATTTGTAAGGCAACATTGTATTTTGCTGCATTCTGGTGAGCAGCTTGAATTCAACAGTTGAGTTACGCTATATGATAAAAAGTGACACTTTATTTGGTGTTTTGCAAAACTGTTCAGAAAACATTCTGTGGAGGTCTAATTTCTCGACTCTCATTTTTCTAAGTTGAGCATTCAGAACTATCCTAAATGATATCGTAATCTGTGTTCATAATTAGATCATCACGAATGTATTTTATCGGTTGTAAACAAAGATAATGAGATAATTCACACAGGCAACCTTGTAAAAAATCTCCCAGATAACTCAGTGAAGAAATGGAGGTGCAGGAGAGAAGAACACGTATGTTTATCACTTTATTGTTCTCTTTGATTTGTTTGTTGAAAATTTCTACATGACTAGGAAGCTTACTTTTATTCTACAAAATCAAGCATTTTGTTATTATATGTAAATAAATATTTATTTATTATATATATATATAGTAAATAGAATGAGGAGGTTATTTTAATTTTCGCTTCACTGGTTCTGGCGCTTGATCACATTCCGACACTTTGACAGTACTTGCCCCGCGCTTAGATTTGTTGTGCTCATCGTTCTCGCTTCGTCCTCGTGGAATCCATATCGACTGTTGAAGGAGATGCTTTCGAGCGCCTTCTTGAGAAGTATCAGTCGCATGTATTCCTTGACGTGATCAGATATACTGATCTCCTTCGCATAGCGTTTGTGGAACTTCGTTGTAATCCCTTCCCAAGTTATCATACACGGAATTATTTTGCTCCTGCATTTCATCTCTGCCCTGACTTTATTAGCAAATAGGTCATATTTTCGCTTTTTCTCGGTCTCAACTGCTGTCAACCTGTTCTGATTAGTGATGCCAACCTTTATCAAAATTCACCACGCTTCTTATCGTGTATCTCGGTCGATCCACTTTTATTCTGATTGCGGTTCTCACTCGCGCATCGACTCTGGTCTCAACATTTTCATTCGCGACGTTCTCCTGAACAGAATGGCTTCGCAGTTCAGACCATACTTCATGCAGAGTCCCAAGTGGATGCATTGTAGAACCTTATTGTGTCTTCTAGTATAGTGTAACGTTTTTTCGGACTGCGTTGCTAAATGGTCCACCATCTTCACACGTTCCTCACAATGTTGGCACATACCTTTCTCACTCCAAACATATTTCTATCTTGGAGATAACAGTATCGTCTTGCGGGGTAATGTTTCCGTATCGTAGCCACTTTAATGAATCGGGTATGGACGGGATTTTATTCATCCGCGTCTTGTATGGTGGGTTTTCTATTCTATTTCGCTATACAGTAACGCCTTCTGGGCTGCTAACACGTTCTCAACGGTAGGATTTTTTGCGAGGTTGTACTTAGGTTGTACTTACATTTTTATAGAACCACGGACCGTGTTCCTTCCCATCCAGACAAATCCTTCTTACTATTTTGTTCAGGTCTGGATGCAAGGAGATACACTTCTTTATAAAAAAGTTATAAACACCATCAGGCCCTGCCGCTTTTTAATTGGGCAAATAGAAGACTATCTTCCCAAATTCGGCTTCAAAGGGAAAAGTATGATGCACTTCATCATCTGGAACTAATTCTTCCACATATTCGTTGTGCTAGATATCATCATACTTTTTCCTTCCGGAGTTCCACATCGTACCTCAAAAATACCTGATTTCCTTAGTCCTTACATTGTGGCTTACGAGCTGTTCTTCCGTAAGACTTTTATAAAAGCGTCTTCTGAACAGCTCGAATCTGGCGTTTTGTATTTTGA